TCTTTATTGAATTTATCCAACCAGTATTAAGGAACTTCTGAACGCAAAAGGGAAACCAACCTGGTTCTACAGCGAACAAATGGGCTGCTGCCAGTGCTTGCAGTGCAGCGGACCTTCAATTGACCCATCAGCCCAAAAGTGCACCAGCCTGGTATGTCAGATTACCAGTCCACTCCTGTTCACATGGACTTGAACTTCACATGTTCACATAAACTTGAGTGACATCCCATTCGTCTTACAGCTATAACAGCTTCAATTCTTCTGGGAAGGTTTTCCACAGGTTTAGACATGTGCTTATGGGAATTTTTGACCATTCTTCCAGAAGCACCTTGCTTTGTGCACTGGTGCAGTGATGCTGGAACAGGAAGGGGCCATCCCCAAACTGTTATTACAAATTTGGGAGCATGAAATTGTCCAAAATGTCTTGGTATACTGAAGCATCAAGTGTTCCTTTCACTGGAATAAAGGAACCGAAACCCACACTGTTACCATCCCTCCACCAAACTTGACTCTTGGCCGACAAGTGCCAGTGTCCTGGCAACTGCAACACCCAGACTCGTCCTTAAGATTGCCAGGTGGAGAAGCGTGATTCGTCACTCCAGAGAACACGTCTTCACTGCTCTAGAGTCCAGTGACGACATGCTTTACATCACTGCTAAGGCTCAGATGCGGCTGCTTTCTATGCACTGTTGTTGAGCTAATCTGAAGGCCACATGAAGTTTGGTCAGTAGTGACTGACTCTGCAGAAAGTTGGCGACCTCTGCACACTTTGTGCCTCAGCATCTGCTAACCCCACTATTTTACATGGCCTACTACTTCATGGCTGAGTTGCTGTCGTTCCCAATCACTTCAGTTTTGTTATATTATCACTAACTGTTGACTGTCGAATATTTATTAGTGAGGAAATTTCACGACTAGACTTGTTGTACAGTCTAGTCGTGAAGCCTATCACAGAACTACACTGGAATTCACTGAACTTTTGAGAGCGACCCATCCTCTTAGAGATGTTTGTAGAAGCAGTCTATGTGTCTAGGTGATTTTATACACCTGCTCTTCACAAAATACCAATAATGCTTAAGTACAGCTATACATGTCTAGATACATCTATGGATTCACTACGTTAGACTGATTATTTTAATGTGGTCATCATATTGTATATTATATTATATATTATATTAATGCTTTTAGGGAAATTTATTTTGAGAATTGAGTTAGTATAAGATGGTAATCTCAGGAAAGTTTTAGCACAAACTCAGTTTAGTATAATTTTTAATTCAATATTGAGTAAAAATTTCAAATCTTTGTACTTTGTATTGCTGTGTCTGACCTTACATTTTAATATTCTCAATATTTATCTTGTGATTGATAATTAAATTTTGAATCATTTTGCTTCATGCCTGACACGGTCATATTCAGTTTGCAAGTTAATCACATTTTCCGTTTTATCATTTCAAAGCAGAATTTATCACTCTAGACGAGCACATGCTGTTTTTAGAAAGAACTTACTGGTGTCATAACCATGTGATGCTTAACATTGTTTGGTATCCAGGACTGTCTGGCGTCCTGAGGAATAAACTAGACTTACACATTCTGAAGGTTACAGCTGTACTAGCGTCATACTGTACTGGATCTTCTCGTCTTTACGGTGTACCAAACAGATGTGCCCATTTCAAGGGTCAAAATCTTTGCGCTTCATGAATTCTTAATAAAAGGAAGATTGCACAATCTTGCCCTGAGATGAACTGTAGTGTCACTCAAAAGGCAGACTGAAAAGTGAAGAGGGACAGAGGACAAAATGACACTAACACCTGTGAAGAGGCGAAAAATAGTAGTGAGAGGAGGCTTCACATGGGGATGCAAAGTTCAAATCCAGTGATGCAAAGATGTGTTGTGTGCTGAAGGTCACACACATTCAAATGTATTGCATTTCCATTTTTCTAAAGGCTTCACTTGGTGTTTTATTGTCTTTGTATGCATTTTTTACTGCAGCACTTCAACTCCAATCACATCTTTCACACACTGTGTCAGCACCCACCCCCCAAACAGACTCCCATCCTCCTTCCTGCCCAGCCCCCTCTTTTTATTGGTTGACCTAGTGGAGTTACTATGGGAACAACTGTGGAGAGGCTGCCATGCAGAATGTGGGGTACAGCTTTTGAATGGTGCTCTGTCGTACACACATGCACTCACACACATTTATCAAGGCCAGGAAAGCCTTGATAAATGTGTTCAAGATGTTGTGTTTTTGTAAATACTAGTGGCCTTCATTTTTCTCTGTCTGTGCAAGAATTTCTTTTCTTTACCACCAGATAGGTATTGTAGTCTTTCTTTTTCATTTTTTTTTGTTATATTCAACTGGTAGTACTTTTACTTACAGTACTATGACAGCAGTAAGTGCTTATTTGTTATTTACTACAGCCTGTGCTAGAATATTTTGCCTACAAGCAAACTGTAGGTCTAAATCTATTAGAGCAAAACTACTGGTCATCCACTACCAGACCTTAAAGCAGATGGACTACAGCAGACCAAAGCCACACTGGGTGCCACTCATATATGGAAAGAATTTTAGAGCTCATCAAAACTGGACAGTAGAAAATTAGGGGGGGGAAATTGCTGAATCATGATTTCTGCTGCAACATTTGGATGGTAGGGTCAGAATCTATTGTAAACAAACTGAAAGCATGGATCCATCCTACCTTGTATCAACAGTTCAGGCTGCTGGTGGTGTTGTCTGAGATATTTTTATTGCACATTTTTATTGCATATTGGCTCCTAAGAACCAGCTGATTGTCGTTTGAATGGCACAGCTTGTTGCTGACCATGTCTACTTTTTGTGATCACATGTGATGGCTTCTTCCAGTTGGATAAGACACCATATTACGAAGCTCAAATCATCTCAAACTGGCTTCTTGAACAAGACAATGAGTTCATTGTACTCAAATGTCCGCCACAGTCACCAGAGCTCAATCCAATAGAGCACCTTTGGGATGTGGTGGAACAGGAGACTGGCATGGACTACTAGCAAGCTGTACCTAATGAAGTGGCCAGTGACAAGTGGATACTTGTGGCTGGTGATCATCAGAAGTTATACCAGCTAAATAAAAGCTTCATTTAAGAGCACTGAAGCTCTTCAAACCCATTCACATACTCACAATAAATCTTATTCTGCCACTTATTCTTTGCTTTTCACCATGAGTCCTTCCCTTGTTCTCTTCCTCACTGGTTTGAATAAGAACCCCATTGTTCATCAGAAACTCAGTGCTCTCTGTTGCACTCTTTTACCAGATTTATGGCCGAAAACAAATAAGCACAAACATGGCTCACACTGAGAACAACTGTCCACATCGAGCAGCCAAACAGCAGATTACTGATGAGATCAGCTGACACAGATATATACAAACACACACACACACACACATGCAACATTACGCACCATTCTTACTGTCAGCATCCCTGGCTTTGATGTGGTGGGCTGGTACAAGTGAGTGTTATGGTCTTACGTAAGGCTTTTACATAAACCTCGGAGTGTAGAGAGCTGGATAAAGAGGGAGGGGGAATTGCTGCACCATTACAAAGGGGATTCGCACTGCACCAAATCCTCCTCCTACTTCACATGGATAAACCACAACATATAAGCTTTTTCTAGCAATATGAGCCATTCTTGAAAAAATGCGACTATACTTTTCATCTATTCAGGACACACACGGGTCTCATATCCACATGCATCAGTTGTCTCTCTTTGTCATCACCGTGCCTGTCTGTCTCCTTTCTTTCCCCAACAGAGACCAACAGTAGCTAGGGACGCATCTGTCGGGCTTTCATGTCAGCAATCAATAGGATTTATTGATAACCTGTAATCCCCGACCCAGAATGACCTCTCCCTAAGTGCCGGACCACAACAATATCCAAAAACTAAAGCTACATTCTACTCAATGCATCACCTTTTCTCACTCAGGCTGATCCTTAGGGATTTAAGACAGCAGGACATGAGGGGTGGGATGAGAGAAGTGGAATTCAACCTCCATTTTATTTTTTCTCCAAACACAAAAAGGACATAACTCCTATGATGGTGTAAACGTGCTTACAAAGAGTCAGGGGCTCATCTATCAGCGCAAATACAGTTTTCTTTATTAAAAATGTAATGAGGTTTTCACAATATAAACAGATAGAAACATAAAGGAGGAGGGGGGGAAATCTGCTTTTCATCAGAGCAAATGATCATATAAAGGCCCAGAAAAAAAAAAGAGAAGTGTGTGCCTGCAAAAAATACATTGAGCCGAGTCTGGTGTTGGTGAGCCCATGATGGAAACACGGTGACCTCAGGAGTAAGAGTGTGTCCCAGTGAAACAGTTGTATCATGCCATGTCATACCTGGATGAAGCTAAGAAACAGTGACATGTTGGGTAGAGTGATGTCCTGTATTTAAACAAAACCTGGTGGACATTGATTGCATAATGACCTGTCATTTTTCAGTTCTACAGAATCCGACTGTTAAAGGAATCCAAGTAAAATCTTGCCAACCAATAACATCAACCAAAAAAATACTTTACTTAAAAACCAAATATTTTGCTCAATCAGCAATGAATAAAGGAAGCTAAAGGTCAAAAGCTAAAGAAAGGGCAAATGTGAACCGACATGATCACTTGCTGCTTCCCAGGTGACCTCTAGGGCGCCCTTTTATTTGGCTAGGAGAGTTCCTACTGCAGTCTCGGAATCAGGTTACTCCATGGTTGCCTACACTACACCATAGGGAGGCTGAATAGATATCTGAACCCGGAGCAGTGTCATGGATCAATCATTAGACTCTAAATGAGATGAGATGGCTTAAAGAACGAGAATGACACTCAAGTGTCACTGATAGCTTCTGTGGGAATGATTACATTAAACTTGGCATATCCTATGAAAATTCTATGGAAATCCCTATAAGGGACCAACCTGCTCCCTTTTAACTGATTGCACTATATCACTAACAAAGGCCTTCTAGGACTGCAACACACCTTCTTATTTCTAAAACAAGCGGCGTTTTGCAATGCAAGCCACAGGGGACTTAGAAAAGAGTCAAATCCAGTTTGTCTTGCCCCCACAAAAGAGGGACAAAGAGGATAGTAGAACACAGAAAACTATGTTCTCACAAATATCCATTACAATGTCAAGCTACATTCACATTCACTCGCAGCTGTGGTGGCTCGTGAAATTAGGCTATACATTGTTTTTTGTTTTGTTTTGTTTTGTTTTATTCCTAGCCAGGAGAAGAAGGGGCGAGGTCGATCATTTAGCATTAGTTCCCAAATTTTGCTATGTATAATATCCTAGTTCTCTAAACTGGCACTTGTCATCCATCCACATTAGCCTATACAGTATGCTAACAGAGAGTAACAGAAAGAAGACAAGGCAGAGTGTTAGAAAGCTGGTGCTGTCACAGTTAAGGATCCGTGCAGTATGATTGCGGAAAGGGAAAGTCTATAAAAACAGTACGAAATCCAGTGAAGAACAATGTACTAGCTAGAAAAAATGTGTTTGTGCATGTGTTCGTAGAGAAGAAAGTTATCCAGTGTAGCTACAAATACAGTGCCAAAGGTTGAGCAGTGCGCATGTGTCAGATCCTTCAGCATTAGATGACGTTCCCTGACCTTTGTGCCTTGATATGTGGCACTACATGCAGAGAGCGAGAAGAAATGTGTATGTGTGTATGATTCTGCATGTGCGTGTGTTCGCAGACAACGAAGCCTTAGTGCAAGGGATCCCTCCAGGTTGATGTATTGCGATAGTTTTGCAGGTTTCCATTGGTATTTAAACATTTGTAAATCCCAGAGATTAAAATTCTGTGAATGTACTTCCAGTGAAGCAGCCGGGTGTGAGTGAGATCCAAGTACAAAGGCTGAAGCCAAAGTTAGTCCAAATGGATTTTAAAAAAAGAAATCCGCTAATCGATCTTAAAAAGTATGAGATGCAGTGTGACCTTCTGCAGGATAGCTTTGTAGCTGCAAAGTAGATAATAAAAGCAGTTCGGAGTTCATGTATAGTTTTAAAACCAGTGTGCGATCAGCAAAAGACCATGTTAAAAAAACATTTACAGCAAGGAAAAATGGAGGAAAACTGTTGGGACTTTTCCAAACTATGACAAAATCAAAAAACTTTGGCTCTAAAATCAGAGAATTAGGAGGTACGTGTTACAGATTAGATAATAATAAAAATAATAATAATAATAATAACAATAATAATAATAATAATAATGTTGATTAGATTAGGTCCTTACTATCAGATTGAGTTAAACAAATTGTGGAAATCTAAAAGAAAAACATAAAAGAAAAAAAGGTGCTCTGCTTTTGTTTTCTGTCAAAGTGGTGGTCGTATAGTTAACAGATTGTCAACAGTCAACCCCCAAAGGTTTAAGGAGGGTTGCAAAATGTTAACCTAGCTTTTTCAAGTTTCCTAGTGACTTTCTCAGGTGAACAAAGCACTTACTCTAATGTAGCTGTTCGTGAGCCAACACGCCTAAGGAATGAGAGATTTAAAGATTTGAGAGGAATTCCTAGGCCATTGACTGTACAGCTCAACATTTTTCTTTGTCTGGGGAAACATTTGGCTCTACGTAAGCTGCAGTGTAGCAATGTGCACTCCAGTCCAGCGGAAAATCACCCATGTGACAGAAGCTACTTCTTGTGGGCAGTCCCTCTGGCTGTGCCGCCAGATTTGTTTCCAGAACGACGAACTGGCACCTTGGATACTGGGATTCTGGTGCGAGCCGGAGGAGGCGGTTGCGTCTTTGGTGGAGTTGATTCAGCCTCTAGGACGGACGACAGGGCTGACTGGCTTGCAGAGTGAGGGGGTGTGGTTGGTTTGGTGCTTACCGGGATCTTGGATTCTCGAGGAAGGCTGGCGCTGCCTTTCATTGATCGGAAGGAGCAAGAGGAGGAGGAGGAAGGCAGAGTTGCTTGGGAGATGGGGCTCGTTTTGTGTTCAGTGGATGGAGAGGGCGAGCTGTTTGGATCTTCATCTCCCTCCTGATCCTCTGCTTCTTCTTCAGGATCATTGTAGAGGTCATACAGGTGGTCTCCAGAGCAACTGTCACGTGATAGGGCCATATTCTGGTTATGCTGCAGCCCACTTTCGTCAGGTGTTGCTGTAGGTGTTGCTGACGGTGTGTCCCAGTATCCCTCGTCACTAAGCGGCTCTTTTTCACCTGGCGATGTAGGGTGACGACCATGTGCGTGAGGGAGAGGGGGTTTAGCTGCCCGGCTTCCCGCTCCACCAACTACTGGAATCTTACTGAGTCCCAGCGCCTTCACCTGTGGTACCTTTCTATCTGAACTCCTGGAAGCTGAGGGAAGGTAGCTGCTAGCAGGGTTGGTGCGAGGGGGATAAGTAGAAGTAGGGGTAGAGGAGGAAGGTTGATGCGATCGGGGCAATGCAGGGGAGTTGTCTCCTGTGGAAGGCAACATGTGCCAGAGTCCTTGCATGTCTGCATCGTCCACTCCTTCTGGACTTGCCATTTCTTCCCCTCCACCCATGTAGGCCACCACACCACTCCCGGGTGGGTGCTGTTGTGGTTGAGGTCGTGCCCTGGTCCGGGCAGGGAGGGAGGCAGGTGCAGAGTTTGGGGAGACAGAGAACATGGGCTGGGACATCTGAGAAGATAAAGGGGGTTTAGATGGGGAGATGCTACTGGTGATACCAACAACTCTCCCAATACCCACTCCCACGCTACCTCCTCCTCCCCCACTGCTACTGCTGCTGGTACCACTGCCCCCATTACCCACTGGGCCCTCTTCATCGGCATCAGCAATAATGTCACCACAGCCTGTGAGAGAATCAAAGCTCTTGAGGGACGTGACGTCAGTGAAGAGGAGGGAGCAGAGTCGGTCCACAGAGGGCTCTGATGGTGGGTCACCAGTGCTGCAGCGATCCAAAGGGGGTGTAGCAAGGGAGGGGGTGAGACTGGAAATTGAGGCTTTGGCTTTTTGGATGGGTGGTCGCAGTGGTGAGTCAGTGGGCGTGTAGGGAAAGGGAGAGTCTGGCTCACCAGATGGCCCTGGCATGGCAACACAGTGTGGAGGTGTCATGGTAACACTCGTGGTGGGAGTCTCTAGTGCTTGGAGGTTAGGTCCTGCTTCTGCATCCTCACAGTCTGCTTGGTGGTTATGGGGAGGTGGTTCAAGGGTTAGAGTAATGTCCTTTACCTTTTCAGCATCAGCAGCTTCTCCATCCTTGTCCTTCTTCGCCTCTGCCTCTTCTCCATCGCCCTCATTTGTTTTGTCTTTACGTCTCCATCGCATGCTGCTGAAAAACCCTTTCAGGCCCCTTCCTCTTCTGACAAGTCCTGCTCCTCCGTTTTCACTCGACCTAAAACTCCCGCGTCGGAGAAGAGAGAAGAAACTCAGCGATTTGCTCAGAGACCTCACCGGCCCCACCTCCAGGCCTGCAAGTCCCTCCCCTCTCTGTCCATCAGCGTCGTTATTAGAGCTTGTTAGTCCATCGTGGGTTTTGCTCCTCACAAGTTCCGCCGATGCCCCTGAGCTGTTTCCATTCAAAGAATTTCCATTGTCAGAATTCCCGTTGTTTCCGCTGTTTGTAGCCCCTTTGTTCCTGAAGGAAAAGAAGCTGGCCATTCCAGATCCAGTGCGCCGCTTCCCAAAGAGTTTGAAGGCAGCTTTGTTGATCTTCCCTGTAGGCTGAGGGTCACACTGAGGGGCCACAGGAGGCTCCACACACTCTGAGTGCACCTCCATTATCTAGTACTCTATTGCTCCCACTCTATCGTCTCCCTCGAGCTCTCTAGCTACCTTTTTATCCTCTCTCTTTCTGGCGCACATACATTCACCCTCTCTCTCTCTCTCTCTCTCCCTCCACCCTGCTGTCTGGTGCTCTTTCACTCCCACTCTGACTTGCTTTAACGCCTGCCTGCTGGTTTTCTCTGTCTGCCTCCCTCCCTCCCTCTTTCTCTTTCTCTCTCTCTCTAGCTCTCTCTCACACAGCCGCACACACAAACACACATGCTGCTCCTCACTGTATCCATGGCAACTGGGTGGGCTAAGCAGCTTTCGTCAACGTTGGCGGGGCGCCAGCGTCTCTCCTCCACTCCCTCCCCCAACCCCCTTTCCTCTTCTCTGCTTCCACCTTGCCTGTCACCGATGCACTGGTTGGTCTTTCATTTTAACTATTGAATATTTCCGAAGCCCAAAATTCACCGCATCCATCAGTGTGTGTGTGTGTGTGTGTGCACCGTGTGTGCGTGTGTCCACGTCTCTGTGTTTGTACAAACCCATTCCAGGGTAGCAATGAAGCAATACGCACCCACTGATCTGCTGATGCATTATAAAGGATTAGACATGAGTTCAATATGTTTATGAGGGCTTCCTTAATGGCAGCTCGGTTGAATAGCCAATTATTAGGACAGATCACAGGCTAATCTTTATACAGACTGTTTGTAGGATATGGACCACAGATGTGGGAAAACTGACAATGATGCTGCCCACTAAAAACAGAACTTTTGCATGTGTGGACATTAATTTCTGGGTATATCTTTCCTGTTAGGTAAGTCAGAGCTTTGGGCAAACAGTAGCTTTACATTGTAAATTGATCAGAATTAGCCTTCTCCCTTCACCCAGGCTTATTAGACTGGCTAAATTGGAGTGTGAGGGTGAAAAAGTTCAAAGTAAACGAAACTAAGCATATCACAAGTGCGATTTAGTGGACTCAAAAACAAGACCTGCTGATCAACAGTATGAGCGGACTTAGACCAGGATATGGATTTAGAAATGTCAGTGCAGTCATGCTTTTGTTATTTCAAGGGACAAGGAGGTCTTAACCTCCCAGTCACAACCAATTTCTCATCCACAACTTAAATGACTTACAAGTGACTCTGCAAAAAGATTTAGGCCCCTCACAACTTACAAGTAGACAAACATACAAACACAAATAGCACAGCCTTCAATAGAGTTTGAGACACACACATATAAGCCATATGGCCTTGAGGCCTCTTCCATATGGACACACAGGGCCAGGTGTCTGAGCCCTGCGATGCCACATATAACTGTCATCACGTCATCCTCAGTTTCCTTGTGTTTGTGGTTTTGTGTCACCAATTATGCAGCCCACAGTACACTCTTTCTTTTCACATTAGTTATAGTTTTAGAGCATACCTTGGCAACCAGCAGAGTTTCTGCAGGCATGTAGAACAATTAACTGTTCACAAACTGGAAGGAAACCTTGTGGCAGCGGATCAACTTGCTGACTTTTGTTCATTGTTGTCGTGTCTTTACAAAGTGCACAAGTGTTCCAGTTTTATTATCAAAATGCATTTGTGCTAATAAGTAAAATTGTGAATGAATTAGGGTATTATACATTAAAATAAAAAAAATATAATAATAAGGAGTGAAGTCATTTTTATTCCACATCTCAGTTTGTTTGTTTGATTTTGGAGAATGGCAACCAGTTTGTATATCTGAACAAATTACATAATCACCATTTACCGTAGATCCACCCAGTTCTCCTTTTTTCTGAGTGCAATCCACTGGGGGTGCTCCCAACCCCCCATGAATCTCCCTGTTATCCCGACCCACTTACAAACCTTCCTTCCCTTCCCTCCCCTTCTCCTTTTCTCTCCTCCTCTTCCACAGTGACTGTGAGCACAGGCTCTCCTCTTCCATCCCACTGCTATCAAACAATGTCTGCATTCATGAGCCCAATACACACAACCACAAATCTAGAGACATGCTCCCACCCACACAAACACTTTTTGAGGGCTTCCCCAGAGTGAAGCGTCGAAGCATATCATCCCTATGCTCCCCCCCCACCAATAAGAAAGATAATATGTCCCCAAGAGTCAGTCAGCCAGCCTGTCTACTTGCCAGTCAGTCACCCACTATGCATGCTTTCAGGTACATCAGATGTTCAAGCAGAATGCCCTACAGCAGTGCTAGCAGGTCAGCTGGCTGCTGCGTGGACTTGAAGCTGAGTCTAAGCAGCAGATGGCAGGTGGATTGATGAGTGGAGACTGATGAGGGAGCTCAGTTATCGCATGATGAGACAAAGGATTTTGCTTAGCTCTTAGAGTGGCAGTGTACATTATTACAGTGCTTTAAACATCAGTAAATTATTGAAGCAAATGCACACATTACGACAATGTTACTATATTCCACAATGGAGACCATTAGACCATATCGGGCTTATCGAGCAGTTTGTATAACTGCATTTAAATGGAGGACATAGGAAAGCAATACACACCCACACACTCACATATATATGAGGCCATTTGTAAAAGCATGGGGCTTGTATGTAAGTGTAAAAGAACTTTTGTCCAGAGGCTTTTGTGGATATTGAACTGGTTTGGTTAGTTTGGTGCTTGAATAATGCAACATGTGCTCTCCTTGCAACCTAATAATTCTTTTCAGTCCACTTGTACCGGCTAAGGCAGATTCACACATGCAATACAAGAAGCCCACACCCTATTATCCCTCCTACTCCGTGCCCCCACCCTCTCTAAAAAGGGTTCCCATTTCAGCCCCCTGAGCGAAGCTCAGCATTAAGTGGGACAGTTGGAGGACATTTTCTCTCTCTCATGTCTCTCACTGTTTTGTCTGTTAATATGGTTCCTCTTTTACGTCAGTGTGCTTCCACTGCACAGTGCCCACAAGTAGCAGCTGAATGTCTTTTTTTTCATTCCTCTGTGAGGAAAGAGCCTCAGGATGCAAATACTTTTTTTTTCAAATGCCTAATTTGTCTTGCTAAGAAAAGAAAAACAGACTGTGTGTTGTTATGTGAAACTTCCATTGTGTGTACACCCTTTACCAGGCAGAAGTTGTGAAAAAGATGTAAATCATTTCAAGGAAATGCATATCTGTCAACAAAGTAAAAGAGTGCTTTAAATTTTGTAAAGAGTTTCAGTGTCTTCACATCAGGGTGTAAATAACCTAATTAATTAGAGCGTGTATCCTTATTATCCATCTTGAACTGTCTGATAGTGTCACAGTCATGACATCATCTTCGTTCAGTCCACGTCAATCTTTTTAAATCGGTCACATATTAAGACTTTTAATCTTGGTATGTGACCAATATAAAAAGAATGCAAAAGGTCATTACATTAAAACACATTGTGCTATTTTAGGCTCCTGCTTTAACACCTTTATTATTTTAGAAAGTCATCTATGGGATTCCTGCTTCAGTTTCACATATAGGAGAAAAAGAAACCAGAATATCCCCACAGAGTGTCTGAACTTTGCCTCACTTGAATAATAATAAGTCACATATCTTATCAGTAATCTCACAAGAGTTTTATTATCTGCGGATCATAGAGGACACCAACAAAGAAGTAGCTCTGATGTGGTCATGACTGTAGGTTCACATAACAAACCACAATAGTTTTAGCTGTCAGTCAGACGTAGTACATATCAGTAACTACGGGAATCTTTTCAAATGTGAGAACAATACAATCAGCAATCTACCCATTTTCCTTTCAAGTACCACATCTGTGAAAACAGCACAACAGGATCCAAGCAAGAGGTTTAACAAAGACTAGTAACACACACAAGACACAGGTGTGGCTGATCATACATCAGTGGTTAGCTCCTGGCACAGGCACACATACACACCACATAGTCTTTATCATCATTATTAGGGGTTCTATCGGTTAGATTGTGTCAGCACAGGGGGTCTTCCAGCTCTGGATTAAACTAAGCTGTGTGTCTGTGTGTGTGCATACACACATGTTCCTGTTTATGTGTTAATGAAAATTAAACCCCCAAGGATTACTGCTTGTGCTCTTTTGTTACTTTGGTAATCAACAGGGAGCAGTACTAAATGTTATTAAGCTGCCTAAACCCAGAGTGCTCAGACACTTTTACACTCAAAACACTGCAAAACCAAAGTGTTTCTGAAAACTTGTCTTTATCCCACAGAAAAAGCAACCCAAAGTATATAAAAGTTATACATGTTCCCTGCAATGCAATCATGCAGTAATTATCAATTTTTCTGAATATGTCAGGGTCAAAATGTTTGTACATTAATTACTTTTTTGAGGCAAGTTATTCTACTGTTTGGAGTAAAAATGTTCCTTTTTTTCATTTAGACTCATTTATTCTGGACCTCTAGTTGCCGTGGCTTGCTGAGATGACAGATCTGGAGGGGATTTTCATTACCGTTATAATTTATGCTGTCCTACTGTCAGAGGCTGAGGCTAAAGCCTGGTTATACCTCTGGCCACCACATACAACCAGTAGCATCTTTGCACAAACTCATAGAAATGGAGTTGCATCATATAAATGCTAAATGAATTGATTCTTATGCTCCTAGGACCTGGTGTCCACATCACATTTTGGGTTGTCTGGACCAAAATACTAATTTTTGCTCTACAAGGGCCTGATTACCACTTATGAGGACATTATACTGCCTGTTCTATCGAAATTAAAAACGAATGCCCTCTTATGAGGACCTCATTTTTCTCATAAACAAAAATCAAATAAAAGAAAAAAATCTGTTAATTCTTTGTTTTTACATTCATCAGGTCCCAATCAGCCCAATTAGCAAAGAGAAATTAAAAATGCATGCCATGAAGGAGTTTGGGTCTTAGGAGGTTAAATACTACATACCACTATCCAACTTTATCTTAACACTCAAATACCACATTCCCTTATTTCATTTAGTTTGACCCGAAATAAAACTTACCAGAAACGACTGTCTAGAGCAGGGATGTCAAACTCTTTTTACATCGCTGGCTACATACAGCTTATTTTGATCTTTTGTTGGCTGCACCAGTGAAACTGCCCTTCCTGCCAGTGTGCAAATGTAATCCCAGAGATATCTTATATTTAAAAAAATAACCTCTATTTCACCAGATAGCAATCTATCAGTGCAAAAGAGAACTACAGATATCTATAACTTAATTACTTCAGTGTAGCCATATGGGAGGTCTTTATCAATCAGAAAAGCTTTAAAAATTGTGAAAATACAATTA